CCGTTGCGTATGCTATATCTAAAAAAGTTAGTATTTTCGTAGATTTCAGTACCTAAAAACCTTGATGGTTTGATCGTTTTTTGCACCTGTTTATTCGTTTTACTGCGGCGTCTTTGAAAATACTTAGGTGGCATGACATAACATTCCTATTATTTGATAAGCTTTAGATTATTCAGTTATTAAATGTTTGTCTTAAATTATTTGTCTTTGCGGAAAACACTATTTAAAGAATATGGGGCCCTTAAGAGCTTTTTCGATATAATTATATCGTGAACGTGAACGATAACTGACGAGCGCGCGCACCGAATCGCCTGTACGAATTTTAAACGTGAAGCTTGTGTTAAATAATACGAGATTTGAACATAACGGAATCCTTCTTAGCTCTTAACCCGTACTTATCGTACCGTACGCGTACCATACCGTATTTAATACTAGCACACTGCGCACCTGCGTACGGAGTCTTTGCATTACCAGCTGTCTAGTTCTAGTATCCAGTACGAGTACGAAATACGAAAGTTTCGTTCCATTTGAGAGTCGTATCATCTGACTCCCAACAAAGATTCGTATCGTTTATACGAATCATACGGATACTACCCATCTCTACTTCCGGTTATACCGGAAGTCGCCATCAACTTGCTTACTTTAATTGGAATACCCTATATATTATTGCAATTTTAGATTCTACGTGTTATTTTAGGTAGATTTTTATGAAGTTTCCCTATTCCTAAAATTAACCGTTTTCGAGATATTTAATTTTTTTCAAACAAATGGAGAGAAACAGTGACTAGCTTCAAACCATGTATATTTTATAGCAAGAAAGATAAAACAACAATATTTATAGGGGGGATAGCTAGACCTCTAAGCTTCTCATCCATACTTTCAAAGTGGCATAATTGCATACAGGGTACTAGAAATTTAATGCCGAGTTTAGTTAACTTCAAACCTTCATAAGTCGGTGTTTTAAATGGAACACCCTGTATATTTTTCTATATTCTGATACACAATTTTATTCTCTTTCGAACGGTATCAGGGTTCCCTATACCTATATCTTCTAGTTTTTAAGTTACCTAATATTTTTTGTGTAATCACCTAAAATCATGTAATTTCTTGCGAGGATAGCTGTGGAATTTTTGGACTAAGGCAAACTTTCCGTACCTACAACTTTGTGTTTTGTAATTGTTCTTACAACTGCAGGAAATAATTTAAAAAAATACCATAGCCAATCGTGCGAAAACGTAGAGAAACTGCAGATGATACCTAAGAATTTACAGAAAACATTTTTGAAGGGACAGATTTCTTACAAGAGGACGAAAATGATGAATTCATTCCTGCCAAAAAAAGTAGAATTGAATAAGGGTAAATCAAAGTTTTTATGATAAGAATAAAAGTTTATTTTTATAAATATAAATCATTAATTATTGCTTTGTATTTTTATACTGTCTTATCCCCTTGAAAATTTTAAAAGATACATATTCTTCAATAAAGCAAAAAAAATAAATATGAGAAAAAATAATATTTATAACAGTTAGAAGTAGAATTTATATGGATATTTTTAATTTATAAATATTTAATGTTTAATTTGCCAATTTGTTTATAATTCTGTTTTGCACGTCCTACTTTGTTCGACGCGTTTCTATGGACGAATTAGAACCTATATCTACGGCATTAAGCTATAAAATTAATGTTTGGTAATTAAACAGTTAGTTGCAAAAAACGAACGAAATTAATTAACAAATAGCTGGAGCAACAATTTCACGGTCAATGGAATTGGCCCTTGGCACACATATTGGTCTTTGGATTGATCGTCTTTTCCATAAGTTTCATCAACATCCATCGCTTTTTGATATAATAATGCACAATTTCCAAAAACTGATTTTTCCGTGTTCGACCTTTATTTTACAGGTAACAAATAGGTGACGTCAAATACCTTAAATTGTAGGTAATTTAATTGCCTACAACATAAAACAATTAATTTTCCGTTATGTCGTCTAGATTTTCGTGGACAGAAAAAAAGTGACAGCGTCACTTCTTTCGAGTTACTTTTTTGTTATTATCATTCTACCCCGTCCTTCCCCGGCATAAAGTGCAATTAAATGTCTACTAATAATTTTTTCACGTTCAAACTCGACTAGAGTATTTATAATGAAATCTAAATCCTTTTTTTCGTTAGCAAAATTATTCATTTCGGTCAAAAATTGCAATTTCATCTCTTGTTGCAAAATATACTATTTTTACCTACTCATAAAACCTTGCGAACTAAAAAAGTTTCGGTTATGTTTAGCATTTTCGTTGTTAGAGCACAAAGTATAACAAACGTTACCGGCTTTTTAAATATTTACGGAATGATTATCTCCCTAAGCAAGTTTTCACCGGCGACTCCGCCATATTTTATAATAACATTTTTATCTTAGAAGAGGCCATTAATTCCGATATTATCCTTACTCCGGTGAATCGTAATGGGACTGGATTTCCCTAATTATCCAAACAGAGCGTGTTTACCAGTAATTTATGTACAACGACCCGGTGAAATACGGGCTATGGTTCGACCAACTGAGGACGTGATTTCACGTATTTATAGCTAAGGCTCCCGTTACTGGCCCCGCCCAGAATTAGGACAGAATGGAAACGATTAAGCTGATTTTCTCGCTAGGATGTAGCAGTTAAAGATAAGGAAATTAATGAAGTTTAAATTTATGTTGATTATACTAAATATATTCCGGCCTGTAGTATAATATTTTAATGGATATTACATATTTGCAAATAAATAATTTTGACTATAAGATACTAATACATTTGCGCACTAGGTATAACAAATATTTAATGAATAGACATTTTTAGTATTGACGTCACATACGCCAAATAATAGGCAACTCCTAGTGCTCATTGTCATGAAGAATTCTCAATTTTCGACCTTTGGACATAAGTGCCAAAAAAATGTTTTCTTTGAACTTTAAATATCGCGATATTCTGGCAATATTAGAAATATTTAACAAGTTTCAAACCCCAAGTGACAAAGTAAAAGAATGATAGAACTTATATATTTAAATTTATAGAATAATATCGACTTTTATAGTAGGTATGTAATTAATAAATTAAAATTATATCAATGTTACTGAGCATACGCATTAAAGATAAACGAAGTAGTCTTGCAACAGGATATCATTCAAGAAAAGTTTGGTTATGGTTACGTGTATGTCATGCCTTTGTGATTTCTTGCTTTCTTTCTCCTAAGTATTGTAACAATTTTTGATATATTATCATGCCTAAAAGACCAGTTAGTATGAGTGCAATTTTTATGTACTTTAAAAAAAAGAAGTTCATCGAAAAGGGAGAAAATTCTGATGCCTGTTATATTATTATTGTTATGTTAAAATGAAATGTTGCATTTTGTGAAATTAGATTCCACTTATAGGCCAACCAATAGAACGAAAAAAAAGGCTGTTTTTACACTTAAACATTACAGCAATTTCATGTATTTCCTTTTGAAAAATACTTAATAAATGAAAACCCAAGTGATTTCCCCAGCAAAGTCGTGAACATTTTTTTTTAACAATAAAATCTGCAAATAAATGATATTTATTTGTTTTTTTTATATCTCAAAAAATGATGAAATCGTCTTACTTTCTATAGGACTTTTGTAGAGAATAAAAAAACCTATAAAATTTGCGACCCGATCGGTTCATTTTTTACAGAGAAAATCCGGAAAAACTTCTAAAATAGACCTTTTTTCAAAAATTCATAACTCCGTCAAAGAGTGACCGCAAAAACACTGTGATTTTCGCCCGTTTTTCAGAGCAGATAATAAAAAAAATACATAAAAATATGTTTTTGGTCGCAAATTACTTGTCGTAAAAAACTGAAATGAGCATAACTTATAGCATTTTGAAAATTTTAAAAATCACCCCTTCTTAGGGGTTGAAAAAATGCCAAAAATGAAGAATTTTAATATTACCAATTGATATAAAAACTATTAGCATGTGGATTACCTTAATATATATTTTTTTGAATTTTTACAATTATTTCTGATATTCTCTATTTTTGGGGACGATTCCATCCCCTGAGCGCCCTTAAGGGTGGATTTCCTAATTCAACATGCTTATTTCAGTCATGAAAATAAATCTTTCAAGAATCATTCGATAGAAAAATTCAAATGCTAATAGTCTTTATGTTTATTGGTAATATTCAATTCTTCATTTTGGGCGTCTTTTCAACTTCTAAATAGGAGTGATTTTTGAAAATTTTCCAGA